TTCTATATTTGGTTTGATTTATAAGATAATTTTTGATTGGTGTTTTAAATTTTTAGAAATTTGTAAGATTAGATTTTGAATTCAACAATTATTACAAAAATTATGTATATTTAAATAATTATTAACTACTTTTTGATTAAAATATTTACAAGTATCAATTAAACATTGTTGATTTTTTACTAAAATTTTTGTAATAGGCTTAAATTCTGTTCATATATCACAAATCCTTTTTTTCACATCTATAATATATTTCTTTCTATAGAGAATTAAAATAGTTTTAGGACTTAAATATTGAGAAATTAAATAATTAGTTTTTCCTAACAAACAATATATCATATTCTTAGATTTTCTTTTAAGCTGTCGATGTATATTATCGATAAACCAACCTAATTTTTTATCTGTTTTTAAAATTTCTTTAACTAAAAACTTTCTTTCACGTGATTTGTTATTAGTTGAAATTTCTCGACTAAAGTAAAATATATGTTCTTCAGAATCAAGAGTTTAGATTACTGGTTGTGGAAAATAAATATGTCTTACATTCTCAGAATTCATCAAATCGAATATATTTTTAAATTTTTGTGATACTCTATGCAATTGAATTTGTTGTTGAAAGCTAAGCAATTTAAATATTATTATCAACAATTTATTTGGAAACAAATTCATTTTGATTAATAAACTTATTTTGACTGATTAAATAAGTATTTATATTTTATATATAATAGAATATATATTTTTTTAAAAAAAATAATATGAATTAAATATCTATCGATAATACAATTTTTCAGAATTTTATATATTTGATTGGCTAAATTTTAAAGTATTCAGTTTTTCCATGCAAAAAATATTTAGATTCTTTAATCTGATTGGCCAAATCTCAAAATACTCAGATTTTTCTAAAAGATACTCAGAATTTTATACGTTTGATTGGTCAAATCTCAAAATACTTAGATTTTTTCAAAAGATACCCAGAATTTTATATATTTGATTGGCCAAATCTCAAAATACTCAGATTTTTCTAAAAGATACTTAGAATTTTATATGTTTAATTTGTCGAATCTTAAAATACTTAGATTTTTCTAAAAGATACTCAGAATTTTATATGTTTGATTGGTTGAATCTCAAAATACTCAGATTTTTTTAAAAGATACTTAGAATTTTATATATTTGATTGGCGAATCTCAAAATACTCAGATTTTTCTAAAAGATACTTAGAATTTTATACATTTGATTAGTTAAATCTCAAAATACTCAGATTTTTCTAAAAAATACTCAGAATTTTATATGTTTGATTGGCCAAATCTCAAAATACACAGATTTTTCTAAAAGATACTCAGAATTTTTTATGTTTGATTGGTCAAATCTCAAAATACTCAGATTTTTCTAAAAAGTACTTAGAATTTTATATGTTTGATTGGTCAAGTCTCAAAATACTCAGATTTTTCCAAAAGACACTTAGAATTTTATACGTTTGATTAGTTGAATCTCAAAATACTTAGATTTTTCTCAGAATTTTATACGTTTGATTGTTTGAATCTCAAAATACTCAGATTTTACCAAAATTAACTTAGATTTATATATAGTTAAAATAATATATGAGGTGGAGTCAATAGAAATAGGACAAATTTATCTAATAAATTTGTCCTATTTCTATTGACTTCACCCAATATATAGGTAATAAATTTTATTTAATTATTTAAAAAAATAGAACATTTGCCAGAAATAGAAATAGAATCATTAACAATATTAATACAGCATTCTTTAGTTAATTCAATATTATTGATTGTATTAATAACTTCAGTTTTATGTTTTTTAATTATTTGATTATCATTATTAATTTTAGGTTTATTTGTTTGAATTGGTGGTAAAGCTTAATCTGTTTCAATTATTTTAATAGTTTCTTCTTTATTTTTATTAAAATCTTTAACTTATGTTGGTTTTGGTATTTGAATAATTGAAGTTTCATTATTTTGAGGTATTAAATTATTAGATTTTTCTTTATCTTCTTGAATTTGATTAATTTGTTTAATTTGTTTTTTTTGTTTTTCATTTTGTGCTATTGCCAAATTATATTCTTGATAATAGTATTTGCAAAATAGTTTTTAAGATTTGTTAAATTGGTATCGGTAGGATAATTTGCTTCACAAATATCACAAATGAGTCTTGTTTTAAAAGTATCAATGTGGAAATATTTGTGAATTTCGTGAGTATTTCTCATTTTTTTTAAAGTACATATAATTGGTTCTAAATATGAAATATTTAAAGAGAAATAATTTTAATTATTTTCAAATTCGTATTTCACAAATAAGGAAGTTCAATGAACTTCCTTATTTGTATTTTACGAATTTGGTTGTTTAATTCTAAGAATCTATTTAAATTCAAATTTAAGATATTTCTGAATTTATTCTAGAAATTAAGTTTAGATTCTAGATATTTTTGTTTCTACTGAGTTTATCCAATATTGCTATAATTTTATATAAACAATCTTAAAATTATAGTGTTTTGATAAACATGACACATCATATTACATCTGCATACAATTTTTGTCGAGTTAAAAAAATTCAGTATGATGGTGTTAAACCATGCTATCAATGTGAAAAAAGAAATATAGAGTGTATTTATGAAGAATATTGTAAAAACGTGTATCTCAATCAAGAATTGTAAAACAAAAAACTAGTAGATACATTTTAGGAGTTCTGGCACAATTTTGTTACCG